TTGAGGTTAATATTGCTTATAAACCTAGATATGTAAATAATAAATTTTATTATTTTACAAAAAGTTTGGCAACAATGTAAATTTTTCAACACACCCACCTTGATGACGTGCACGCCACTTTGTTTGGCGTTGACTATACCTATATATGTACCTATATATTTAAATGATTGATTTTATTGATGGAAAGAAGAATGTGAGTTTATTATATATTAGGAGTCTTATGAGAAATTATATAGAATAAATAAAATGTATTCTATTAATGCTGTTGTTTTCTTATTTTTAAGCTGCCATAAATATGTAGTTTTACGTGAACTGTTTTATAGTTTTCTTCACAATTCCTTTTATCTTGCCAACTGCTTGATCAATCTTTTCAGATACATGATACATTTTAATAACTCCCTGCTTCATGGAATTTCTTTACGCCGTACTATGCACACAGGCACGGCGGCTACTATGAGATTCACAAAGACATTTTCCTAATCCGATTTTTGAACTGGCTAAGGTTAGTACAACTGGGAAAAGCTTCTTCTTGTAGATTGTTCCACAATCTCGACACCATCGGGACTAAGGAGCAGTCGTATCGGTACAGAGGTATTCCTTAACGCGTGTACAATCACTTGGACGGACAGAAGTTATATACTGAATTCAACAACTTCCGGTACAACCATTTGCCACGGCCTCGCTCAATAGGGGAGTATTGGAGGGTGTTGCCCCTTTTAGAAATAATTTCAAACCACCAGTCAACACAGAGGATCCACTTGTCAAATATATTAAATAAAATGCTGGTTAAATTCTTTTATAATACAATATTTCATAATAATTGTTTTCAGTATATCTAGATTAACCATTCTAAAAATCTTCATTTCTGGCAATTCTTCCAATAACTATTTTTTTTTGGAAACTGTATTAATAAATAACACATATCCCTATCATCAATATGTATATTTTCCTGTATTTGATGATGAATGGTTCTTATGTATTTTCGACGAAAAAAATGTCTAATGAAATCATTTTTGTCCTTTATCAGCACATGCAATACTCTATTTGAAAAACAAACTTCGATTTCTATCCAACACTTTTCACTCAAATCCATCAGCAAAGTTTAAGGATATCAAAAACGCAGTACATCAATTAAGTCAAATATGACCTTACAGGTCATTTTTGGCTGCATATCCCTGTAGTTTACATAGATTGCATATACAGTATATATGTAATTATAACATTCCCCAACAACAATTTTATGGTAGGTTACAAGTTTGTAACATAACATTAAAGGGATATTCTCATAGAGAAGCATATTTTTAGCAGGAGCTCCCTCACACTTCCCAGATATGTTATTGATGTTCTTGATATGTTAGATGCACATTATGGGAATGAAAAATGATCCAAAATTATTCATTTTAATTTAAAAAATAAATTAAAAGTAAAAAGCATACATATTACATTATTTGACTTAGAAAAATGTCGATTGCTGCCGGCGAAGCGGAACTCCAATGAGCCGCCTGAAATGCGGACCTACTAGAAATCAGCCAACAGATCCGTTTCATACGTAATTGACTACGCAAAAAAATTATACAACTTGTCGACCTTCATGAATACTCTCTCTCTGTGATAGTTGATAAATTCTCGCGCCCTCTTGAAAATTGTCAGTGATTTTAAAGAGTGTGTGTAACGAAATCACAAGGACTCTGCAAGTAGTAATTTTGCCACATGGGAGACAATCCATAGGATTTCCACCAAATAAACAATTTTAATATCAAAATTGAAAATCGACGCGGTTGGTATCTCTAAAGCTGGCTCTCAACCCATAAAAATGGAACGGGCTTTGGCGTTACCCACCTATATTGGTATTTTCTTTCATTCATTTGCCTGGAGACGTTCCTGAAGGCATCAAAGCAGTAGTTTAATTAATAATGCATTTTAGATTTAAAAGTTAATGAGATTCTTTCACTGTAATGACTAAACATTTTTTAAGTTAGCTTCAAGAGCTGTCTAATTGCACATATTGGAATAAAAACACCAGGTGTAAATACTTATAAACATGAGTATATATACTCATATATAAGTAATATACATATATTTTTATAATCTAAAATGTATGTAACTCTATAACTACAAATGGAGCTCTTGATTTTTTTGACCTCTCCTTGGCTCTGATTAACCATCTCTTAATGACGCTAATGCTTCCATACTCCAACATGAACAAATATGGTTGGCGTCTAAAAACATAGAGTTATTGGTAAACAATTGACACACATTTAGGGTTACCAGGTTTAAATTTGAAAATTCCAGAATGTCGATTTCCAAGGGGAGGAGCAGAATATGAAGGACATTTTTTATTAAACTAATGCACAATTCATATACAAAAGGAGTTATTTTTTGACAATGCATACAACAGGAGATCAGAGATTTTTCTGACCACTGTTTATTTTCCATACATTTTTTTTAATGTGAAGCTCTGCTATGATATGGTCGATCAAGATGAAAATTTCAGCTGTCACATCAGAAGTTGCAACATGAAGGAAAAATAGTTTTTTCATCAAGTAAGTAGTCGAACCGAATTAAAAGCGTTAAGAGCAATTTGTAATTTCAATATTTTTTTTTATGAAAGTGAGTCTACTAAATGTCCTACGCCTAAATTCCTGCCTCAAATTGAGAACTCCCAATACAATCCAGGTTACCTGGTAACCCTACGTGCAATATAGTTGTAGAAGCTGTAAAATGAAAATTGTCAATACCTACGTACCTAATCCACATCTGGCTAGGAGTAGTTTTTTAGATTGCAGCTATTGTTTATGATCAGCCCAAGAATAACTCATTGGTAATCCTCCTGAATTCTGACACCTAATAAGAGAAAACCAATTTCAAATATTAATTTTAAAAACTTTTTGTACACACTTATTTACTATATTTCATACAAGATATTAGCAATTTAAATTTAGAACCAGTACATTGTAACTACTTTTCAATCCATTCTTCTTCAAAACTTTCAAATTTTTCCTTGGAAGACAGTGGCAGTGAATTGTTGATTTCCTTATATTGGTTTAAACTGAAATGTTTTTTTTTGCGAAAATCCTGATGAAGCTATTAAACAATGACAAAAAGTTGAGTTATTGAAAGTTTTATTTTCTCTATAGCTGTTAATCTATGGTGGATTGTGATAGCAACCTCAATATTTTGTCCCCTAGCAAGCTTTGTTTTTTTGCAGATATGGTACAAATTGGTACAAAGTTCCACAAAAAGAATAAATCATCTTTATGTCAGAGACTGCCTAAGTGAGTATATTTGAGATATGGCTGCCCAGATTCTTAAAGTAGCTAATAAAATCCTAGCATTCTATTGGCCTCAAATTTAGTGCTCTGATTACCTGATTTAGGTGGCATTAATTGGTACAGCAAATGTGATTGACTATATATTTCTTTTGAATGTGCTAGGGGTGTACAGTGTTTCTAATGACTGTATTAGCACTACAACAGGTAAAACACCGCAACCCTGGTACTAATGGGGCTGGAGGTTTGATATCTAGTTCATACTTCATAACTTATAGACACAGACCATTTACATGTAATATTATAAGCAATCACAATAAATCTATATAGAAAGTATGAAGATCACTTTAAAAAATGAATCATTCATCTGAGGCAATTCATTTAAAACTTTAGACAATTCTTTCAATATCTTAAAAAATGTTTACCTGAAATGCAGAGAAAACTGTGCATTTTACATCAGATTCCAAAGTCTCTGTGGCACTGATATCATATTTTGGATTCTTTCTAATCATTTTCATTTGATATATATTTCCATTTGCAGATTAGATATCTGGTAGTTTTGGATTTCTCCACTTTTCTTTTGGCAATATTAACTAGAAATTTACAAATTGTTACAGTCCTAAATACTACTGAAGATATGATTGCTAACCAATGCCACCTAATGAACATACTTTATATATTTCCCAGTATATTCATCAGGATCATCGATCATCTATTAACTTCAAAGGTTTCATTCCTCTACCAACATTCTACTACATCTTCTTTTATTAAGACAATAATTACTCAAATCACCATTTTCTTTGAGCTTCATTTTCAACCCTACAACCAGAACATATACTATAATGCTTCAAGTAAAAATGAAAATTACTCTTATTCATTCATCTCAAGAAAACCATCTTTGGATGCTCTTTGTTTTACAATCAAATAATGCATGTTCAGCACAAAATGAGCAGATAAATTAAAAGTGAAACAGATTCTTTCAACATTGGCATGAAATTAGTTTATAAAATACTTTGTGATTATAGTTTACACTCAATATGTTTTTGTAATTATTTCAAGTAACATCTCAATAACATAGTGCTGAAACATGATTTTTCATAATGTAAATATAGACCTACGTCAAAAGCTTTATATTAAAAATACTCATACACCTTTAATTCCAAGAAAAATAAGATGGATGTGATCAACAATTATAGTGGAGAAAATATTTCGACAAAAATGAATTTACACATTCAACAGGTTCTGTTAGAAATAACTTAATTTAAGTGTAGGTATTACCCATAAGCCTTATGCTTCCAAAACTACTAATTTAGATAATTTTGTGGTATACCAACATAAAGGAGTCTGCAAGTATGGAACAAATAATGAACCAATAACATTTGAAATTGTTTCGCTTTATACTGTGAGGAATTACATCCTGATACAATAGGTTCACCATTGTGTTAAAATACAGTAAATCCTCTTCTACAACTTGTGTAGGTGAATAACCCTGTACGACGATTGATACCAAAGATATTTGATTCATTAGTAGCATCACATACATAAATATGTTGAAAAACATTGCATTTACCATTCAAAATAAATCCATAATGGTGTAATTCAGAAATCTCTTGCACTAAATCCTACGAAGCCCCTTTGACTTTCACTGCACGAACTCAAACACAAAAAACAGAAGCATTATTACAAATTATGTTATTAATTATTTTACTCATAAAAATCATTATCACTTGAAGAAGAGATCCACAAAACATATACACTGAGATCACCGAGCCATGGTAAGACAGGCTTAAAGATCCTGATATTAGTGACAGATGACACGTTATGACAGCTGTCAGTCAGTTAAGTAAAAAAATTTAAATTTATTTCCTTTTAACATTGTCCTGTAAGAGGACAATGGCCTTAAATCATGATACAATTATTACATGTATTTTAAAAAATAAGTATATTCACTTACCTTCAGAACCACATCAAATAAAAAATAGGAATGAGTCGTCACAGATCAAACATTTTCGCAGTGCCTCCCATCCAGGCGCTGATTTGTATTATCTATTGACATCGCAAAATAAGTTTTTATAAAACTGAAACGACTGGACATAAAAAAATAATGTAATAACCTTTTCACTTTCATAAATATTCCTGTCTGTAGAGTATCTTCTCACCTGTTACTTCACCAACCCGCGAATAATAAAAAGTGCATCAAGAACTAGGCAAAAAACCAAGAAAAACTGATACTGATGCCAAACTTTTGTGTGTCACTGAAGTAAACAAAGGCCAAACAGACTTGTATTTGTTCCATTTTGAAATGTAAGTTTTCATGAAGAATAAAATGAATTCAAATGAAGCTTCCTGTCTATCTTGCAAGATAATAACAGTTAGTTGCCTCACAGGGATTGGAGCTTATCTCCTAAATACTGCAAAAATTTACAAGGGAAACTCAAAAATCATTCTTAGCATTTTAGGAACAGGTAAGCAAGCTGTAGCTGCAAGTTATAATAAATCATCATAATACCAAAATATTCTTTCAGGATCTATTGCCTTAGGTGTTGGCGCCATATTTGACCGTTTGCCATTCAAGGTTGATGAATAAATTGGAAAGGTTTAAAACTGATATTCTTATTTCATTATTTTTATAAATAATTTAATAATAAGATGTGATATATTCATAAATGTGTTTTTTTATTACAAGTCACAATACAAACTCATTTTGATAAACGTGGTCAATACACTAATAGGGAAGTACCAATGTTCAATAAGGTCATGCCTTCAAAGCCATCCAATGGAAAATTTCAAGAAATTCAATTTACAATCTTTGTTTTCATATTGTAATAATTGAAAGAATGCTTGTGTTGACTGAGGTTTTCCTAGTAACCAACCTTTCCAAGTTTAGTATCAGTTTTAGGATTTGCAGTGATGTTTTGCACAGCCACAATCAACTCATTGGCTCTTGTTTGGAGTTCTCTCAAGTCTTGGATGTAGATCATTCTCATAATTTTGGCTGCCCTATTTAACACAGAATCCTTCAGATCAAAACCAAGAGCATGCTCTTCAAATGGAAATGGTGTACCCTGTAAAAAAGGAAATTGTTAACTAGTTACAGCATTTTAAAACTGCAAAGCTAATAATCCTGATGGTTCCCACAATATTTCCAAGGACTAACCATTGGCAGAGTCAACTTTTCATGAAAGCATATAAGCCCTCAAAACTTTTTAAAGAGTGGGGGTAGCAAATATTCTCGGGGGGGGGGGGGGGATGGGGCAAAATCCTAAAACTCAATATTATACACAAAACCATGCCAGACAAGTGTTCAAAGTCATTGCATTTACCTTGACAATGTACTTTTCAGGATGTTCTACACAATCAGGAGCCATCCTCTTCACAATTACTTTTCTGACAGCTCTGAGAGTAATCAATGGATCTGGGTGTGGAACAGTATTCAGAATTTTCGCCAGTTCATTTACACCATCTACAAATTCATTGCTTCTGACTGAAAAATCAAGTAATAATATATAAAATAACCACCAATGCATAATTTCAAAAGATAAAGACACAACTGTCCAACATTTTTGCAAGAGCAAATAGTTTTTGACTTGACCTTGAAATGGCCATGAAGGCCTTAGTCAAGGTCATTAATTAGGTGTTATTTGGATGTAAGGTTTCCTCCTCTTTTCAATTCGAATGTAAAATATGCACTGGACCTTGAAAAAACCCAAAGTCATAATCAAGGTCACACATTGTTATGCCCCCTTAAAACCGTAGGACTGTGCCATTGAACATTTTGGCAAGAGCAAATAGTTTTTGATGTCTTGGTGTGACATTTAAGTGGCCTTGAAAGCTATAGTTAAGGTCATGACTAAGGTGTTATTTGAAGGTGAGATTTGCTCCTCTTTTCAATCTCCATGTGAAATATATACTTGACATTGAAAAAACCTCGTCATAGTCAGTCATTATCAAGGTCACCATCATTTTGTCCCCTTGAAATCTTACAACTTTTGTTTGAAATATTTTTCCTAGAATCCACAGTTTTTGTGGGGAGATTAAAATGGGACACCCTGTATAACAATAGTGTATGTGTGATCTCTATATACAGTAATGGACAAAAGTATATAGACAAGTTAATATTGTGCTGTATTTCTTTTTTAACTTTTTTATTAATACACCAATCTGTATACATAATTCGTTATAGCATAATACTCACTTATACATAAATAAATTCATTAGACCCCTTCAATAAAAAATTAATTGAAAAAAAAAACTGGAATTATGAAGAACAAAAATATATAGACAAAGCAAAACAATTATAGAAAAAAGAAGCAAAGTTCATTGAATTATAGAAAACCAACCATGTTTGTGTTAATATTTTGTAGCATAACCATTATTATCAATCACCGCCTGGCATCATCTCGGCATAGATTGTAGAATTCTTGATCTGTATCCACTTTTGCTGTAAAGCGGCAAAAAGTTCATATCCTTGTTTGAATAATTTTTATCTCGTATTTGCTTATCTAAGTATTCCCATAGATTTTCAATGGGGTTTATATCGGGAGACTGTGAAGGCCATTTGACAACTGGTATTTTTTCATCCAGAAATAATTTCTTTGCGAGATTTGAAGTGTGCTTCGGGTCATTATCTTGCTGGAAGATCGATCTTAAGTGCCTTTTGTCTTCCATATAGGGTAACATGACATGCTTTAGTATGTCTGTGTATACAATCTTATCCGTAATGCCATCTATTCTATGTAAAGGTCCCATCCCAAATCCCGAAAAGCACGCCCAAACCATAACAGACCCGCCTCCATGTTTGACAGTGGGCAAAGTGTACTTGGGGGTTCAATCTTCGTCCACTAAGACGTCTAACGTAATGGACACCATCTGATCCAAACATATTGAACTTGGATTCGTCACTGAAACATACCCTCTTCCAGTCACAGATGCTCCAATCAAGATGCAACCGTGCAAATTGTACTCGGTCCTTACGGTTTTTCCTCGAGATTAGCGGATTCTTACTCGGGCGACGCGCAAATAACTTCAAATCATTTAATCTTCTACTTATAGTTTTCGTAGAAACACTGACAATTCCTTTTGTCTGGATTTCGGCTTTTACATGTCTTGGGGTTTTAAACGGATCTTTGGACGAAATTACTTTTATTAATCTAACTGATCTAGAATTTAGTTTTCTGACCACTTCTCTTAGAGGCTTCCAAGATACCTTTTTGTTTATATTTGTTCAATTTTGCCCAAGCTGCTTTACGCTTCAGCTTCAAATTTTTGGCAATGTCGACCTGACATTGACCATCTTTGTATATGTAACTCAATGATCTTAGTTTTACATCGAAAGAAATTTCTGGACCAAGCAAACTAATGTTGTAAAGAAATTGTCTACATATTTTTGTCCCTCATAAAAAAGTGCTTATATTCAGGCTTGTATTGCGTTCATTCCAGATAATGTAAAAACAAGTAATTTAGATTTTCTACTAATAACGCATTTGTTTATGGAGCAATGAAGTATGAATTCGTTTTCTAATTCTAATTTGTCTATATACTTTTGTCCATTACTGTATATCTGTCTATTTGTCTTTGTTTATCAAAGTGGTCCATAGCACCTTTGCTCTTGTAGTATCACAAGTCAGTAGGTCTGGTTGCCCAAATACCAGTCAAACACTTACAGTTTAGTTTATCCAAAGGATTTTCAGCTACCACATCTGGAACATTCTTGCTTTTCATATTTTCCACAGCATGCTTCAAGTAAAGACTACCTAAAATAGCAAACAAACAATGGATTATCATATATCTCTTAAGATTACATCTACATGTTGGATTGAGTTCAAACTGAATATGATTTTGGGATTACATAAAGTACTCAATTACTAAATATATTACAAAATCATGGCAATAAATACAATAGTTTTACATATTCACTAAAATAAAATATATACATATATACAATTTTTCTTATGTGGTGCCTAGATAACTAAGTATCTGTATGCGCCAATATTAGATAATGTGGAAAGTAAGCTAATAAATGAATAATTAAATAAAACAAAATAAATCCAGGCCAAATAATTATTTGAACATTATGTCTATAATGTTATGGCATATCACTGCACCCACTTAGACAAGGACAAATATCAACAAATTCAAAATTTAAATTCCTAAAAAAAAAAACACAAGACAAGTATCAAAACATTTGCATTTTTATGTAACAGAGAGCAATAAACCTATCAAGGTTTGCCACAACAAATGACCTACACTCAGAACTCAGCCTTTTCATGAGCAGAAAAAAAGTAGATTGTGTTGGACTGAAATCCATGTCTATAAGCACAGAATTAAAACCAAAAAACCCAAGCATCTACATAATTATAATGGTTGTAATGGCATCCTAAAAAATTAATTGTTTTATGTGGAATGCTGGTGTTTTCTAACTTTCAATTATCAGAAAATTAATGTATCTTACCAATCGTTCCACATTTAGCTAACCACCCAAAACAAGGGTTCAAATTTATCTAAAAACTGCATGTAAATGCAGCAAAGTATTAGATTTAGACTTGGTTATAGTTAAAATGAAGTTCCATGTAAACAATAGCTCTGTGCAAAAATACAGTTTCTATAATGAAGATATTATAACTGCACAGTTAAATTATATAAACTTACTGTTAGCATTAGTTTCAATTTGTGCAGCATATCCAAGTATCCATTGTAGTTCCTCAAGCTTAGATCCTACAGGTGGGCAGCCTAAGGAGTCTTTATATCTATTGTATATTTCATCCCAGTCCCTTGCAGTTATGTTCTTAAGATTATTTGCAATAACATTCGGAGCTTGCTTTATTATATTCAATTCCAACCAAGCAATAATTCTCCTCAAGGCTGCCTCATCTACAATAGAGCATCAAAGGGTTGCAGTAAAATATTTGTTTCTGTTTGCAGCAAGTCATAATTGTGCACGATACTTTACAGTATTCTAAAATTGAATTTAAAAAATAGAATCACACAAAAATTTTGGGGCTCAAATAACCTGAGTCCGTCACTGTTACATACGCCTCCAAACAAAACTGTCTAAAATTGTTAATATTTTTAAATCCAGCATAAAAAACTAGGCTAGAATACCTTATTTTATGTCTTTGTCTCAAAACGTTTCGGAAATATCAAGGAAAAACCATCTTTAGGGGAGCCCCTTTAAAAGACCGTAGCGCCCGTTTGTCGACCTATGATTATATAAACTTTTCTTCCTATTTTAAGCTCTAGAAACCGCTGGTAGAATATTGCACACTTTTTGGGTGACTCATATAAACATTTTTCACCATAATCAACTACGAGCCCCTTCCCACTTCAGTTGACCCAACTATTGAAATCTTAGTTTTTTTCTTATCAAACACAAATAATAAAAAAGTAGCAGGGTGTTAAAGGTTTAAAGTATTAACAATGAATAGTTTGATAATATATAGTAGAAAACACCAACTTTATCATCTATATCCATTTCAATGCAAAATAAGTCTATTTCGCATAGGTGGTTGTGAAAAATAAAAGCGATGACAATTGTTTTTATTAATCACAGCTGTCAGAATAGGTTTAAAATAGTTTTGGGTAGTTAAGGTTTTCAAAATGGGTAGAGGAAAGGATATTAGTGAGAAAATTCGGTTACTGATAACAAAATTTTTTAATTCTGGGAAATCAAACTCAGAAATTGCAAATTTGTTAGACTTATGGTGCTACAGTGTGAGAAATATTCTTTGAAGATATAACGTAACCAGTTCAGTTAATATTAACTCACGATATGTGAAAAAAAGTAATATGACAAATGCCGAACGAAGAGCATTAAGAAGAATCATCGTGAAAAACAGGCGTGCCAATATTTACAATTAAGTGCTCTGTGGAGTGACGCTGTTGAAAGGAGAATTTCGAGGTCCACAACCCATAGAGAGGCCCACAAACTGGGATTTAGCACTTGCAAGGTAAGTTTTCTTATAAAAAAAAGTGAAGTAAAAACCCTAAAGTTGCACAACTTGTTTATAGGCCAAAGAAAAGCCACTATTAACTCCACTGCAAAAGAAAAATCAGTTTAGATAGGCTAAAGAACATAGACAATGGACACCTCAACAATGGTGTGCAATACAATGGAGTGACGAGGCCCGATTCGAAGTTTGTGTTGGTGACAGTCGCAGTAGAGTTATTCGCAAAAAAAAATTAAGCATTCCATGTTAACTGTCTGAAGAGAAAAATGAAATTTCCAGCATCCATTATGGTCTGGGGCAGTATGTCATCAAAAGGAGTAGAAAAACTTCATTTTATTGATGGAAATGTGGATACAAACAAATATTTGGCAATTTTAGGAGAATCGCTTATACCAGTGATGGAAGAATGTTTGACATCCGGTGGGCCAACTGAAGTGAGAAGGGGCTTGTATTCTATTTCACTCCTCCTGCTTTTACAAACCCCCTAAAAGTACAAATATTCTACCTACCATTCAAGTTCAATGATTCTGCTTGGGGGTAGTTCAAAGCACTAAGTATCCGCTTCGACATTACTGTGTTTTAAATTGGAAAATGAGCTTATAGAAACTATTTGCGATCTAACTTTAACTCTGAAATATTTATGAGTTTGCTGTAAAACGCTTTTTCAAAACAATTCACAACATAACCACAAAACATATACCTACACTGATATGATAGTATGGAGTATGACACTGATCAAAAGTGGATGCGCAACTGATGCGCAACTAAAATCAAATTCAAGCGGATAACCAAATGAAAATGGTATTTACCATTTTGGGTTGGTATTTACCGATCCGTTCAAGCGAATGTGGTTATCTGTTTGGTTATAAGGTCCGTGACGTCATGAATCAGCTGTTATATGTCATAGTTATCACCGCAAAATTGTGGTATTTACCCAACTCAGGAGTAGTTTTATATTTCAGGTTATTATTTGAAATGTGACAAGTTAGAATTTTGCCGGGTATTGGATATCGCTATTGTACTTCAGCTTCATTTTTGGGAAACTTGATTCAGGCTGACTTCAGTGTTAGCATAAAGTGGACCACCTTATTAGTTATACTCATTACTGTTGTTGGGAATACTTTCAATCTAGTTTCCTATGTTTAACAAAGTATCATATGTACATATACGACAAGAATATTAAAATATGGCCATATAACTCAATGGATTATGTCCACCTGTATACGGTTTTGCTAATATCTTTTTTCACCGTTTTTTCATGATTTCTGCTAAATCAATAAATGTTTTCTTTGACATGCGGAAAACTTTAGAGAATTGAAAGTTATCATAGTTACAAAACCATGGTTCCATCATTGAAAAAAATTTTCTGGAAAAAAATACATTTCTCCCATGAATATTATGAAAGGTTTCGTATTTAAACTCTCCTTACACCGTTGTAGACAAAAAGGCAACGATTATTAAGTGATACTAAAAATAATCAGAGATTATATACGCACTTTTCTAAAATAAACAACTTGCAACAAAACCGCGGTTAAAACCAACGCGTTCAAGCGATTCGTGAAACTGACGTCATCAACCCGTGTGTCATCTTGAACCATATTATAACCGCGGCACATAACACAGACATTTTGGTTATTCGCTTGGATTTGATTTAACAGAGGGTTTATCTTTGGCAACTAATTTCAACTTTTGAATCTGGTCCGCGGCCCGATAGTCGTTCACACCGTTGACAGCGCACTCAAGGCCGGTCCGAAAGCCTCCGTGAGCACTTTGGTGTGAGCGCGTGACGTCACCTATTGCGTCACGGATAGCGTTTACGAGACGTTCACGGCGTATAGTCAACGCCAAACAAAGTGGCGTGCACGTCATCACGATAAAAATTCCCCGACCTAATGCCTAGGTTTCTATCACAAACAATTGCTCTATTGCAGTTTCATATTAATGTGATATATAAACTGTAAAATGGTCATTACTCTCTTATTATGGTTAATAGTCATATAAACATTGTTATTAAAATATCACATAAGTTGCTTTCTGATAAATTTAGACGCATTATGCGAAATAAAATGTTTTGCAAACGCTCCAATCACTTATCGACATGTAAACGCACCAAACCGATTTCGCAGCGTTGGCACATTGTCACCTTGAAACTTATTTAAACTGGGAACTGACATTTGTATTAATTTTGACACTGAATCAATTTGTGGCATTTCAAATCTTTATAAATCGTTTGGCCCCGCATACTGTAAATCAACAACTGTTTGTTTCAAAACAAAATTATTCATTTTACGAGTAGATAAAGGCAATTTTGGTATATAAAGTTGCCCAAACAGTTAAATAGTCGGTGTAAGGAACTCGTGGCCTCGTTAATGCACTACTTTGAGCAAGAAAGGGACAACAACGGGCCTTTGTTGCCTTTAAATGCTGTTCAAGAGGTAGGTTACTAATAATTATATGTAATGTATATTAATAATAGTGAAATTTTATTTCATTTTTTGTAGCGTGTTGCTGCTGCTTTAAAAATTAGTTTAAGGACAGTTAGTCGTATTTCCGAGGGTGTGAAAAGTGATGCAAATTTAGAATCGCCCAAGAAAAAGCGGAGTTATATTAAACGTGTAACCAACACAGCGACATTGGATACAAGTGCCATTCGAGAAGTGATCTATAATATGTATCACAAAAGTAAGATCTTATTATAATAACTTATCAGAAATTTGCATTAATTTGTTAACTAAATTATAATGTCATATTACACATGGTTTCAGAAGAACAAGTTACGATACAAACTTTATGGTCTCGATTAAGAGATAGGGCATTATTTGATGGTAGTGCCACGTCTTTAAGGCGGTTGCTTAGAGATCTTGGATTTAAGTGGCTTAAGGACAATCCGCGACGAGGGCTCATGGAACTACCAAGTATAGCTTTGAAAAGGGTGGAATTTCTAAGGCAATACAATCAAGCCAAGGTTGAGGCCTTATACCAGTTTGTCTTCCTCGATGAAACTTGGATATTTCAAAATGGGACCATAGGTCGCTCTTGGCAAAATGGAAACCAAAAAAGCGTGAAAGCTATTAAAACAGATGGTAAAAGGTATGTACTTTTACACAATTTGCACTATAAAATTTAAAACTAATATATTTTAGATACATTATATTACATGCTGGAAATGAAAATGGGTTTATTGAGGGTAGTGAAGCGATATTTTCTTCGAAAACAAAATTGAGCGATTACCATGGAGAGATGAACCAGGACAATTTTTTGAAATGGTTTCAACATCAGTTATTAGAAAAATTGGAGAGTCCATCTATGATTATACTGGATAACGCCCCTTATCACAGCATGATATTGAACAAAGTGCCCAACAATGCATGGACAAAAAAAAATATCCAAGACTGGTTGACAAATCAAAACATACCATTTTTAAACACAATGTTTAAAACAGAGCTATTGAGTATTGTTGCTCGGTACATAATGCTTCTTAATTATATATATTTTGGTCGACAGTTTATATTTCTTTTGTTTATTCCTATTCTTAAAATAACTGCTTTTTTAGAAACAAACCACCTAAAATATACGTGATTGATGAATTGGCGGAACAACATGGGCACAAAGTTCTTCGTCTGCCTCCTTACCATTGTATATTTAACCCTATTGAGTTAATTTGGGGCATAGCAAAAGGTTACTATAACAGACATATTGGTAGAGATAGTAACAGTGAAAAAGACTGTTTGGATATGTGGAACGAGGCTCTACAAACGGTTACCCCAGACATGTGGAAAAATAGTGTTCGACATACTGAGCAAGAAATTTTTAAATGGTATGAAAGAGAACGAATTTTTGATCGACCAGACATCGAACCTTTAATAATCAACTTTGAGAGTGATGAAGATTCAGATTCAAACAGCGCTGAAGAAAGAAACTCCGACTAACTTTATTGTACAGAAAAAGCTTACACCAGTAGCTTACCTAATTTTAGAATGCATTTTTCTGTATGAATTCTGTAAAATAAATACCATGCATAAAATTTGGAGGACCCCATTTGGATTTTTATTCAGTACCTTTAAGCTATCAATTAAATATGGTAGTTTCATAGTGTCATCTGATCAATAATTGTCATACTTAATGATTATGCAAGTACAGATCTATAATTTTATTATACTATTATTTTTGTTCTCATTTGAGGTTAATATTGCTTATAAACCTAGATATGTAAATAATAAAATTTATTGCATTGTTGCATTGTTGGACACTTTGTTCAATATCATGCTGTGATAAGGGGCGTTATCCAGTATAATCATAGATGTACTCTCCAATTTTTCTAATAACTGATGTTGAAACCATTTCAAAAAATTGTCCTGGTTCATCTCTCCATGGTAATCGCTCAATTTTGTTTTCGAAGAAAATATCCTCAATAAACCCATTTTCATTTCCAGCATGTAATATAATGTATCTAAAATATATTAGTTTTAAATTTTATAGTGCAAATTGTGTAAAAGTACATACCTTTCACCATCTGTTTTAATAGCTTTCACGCTTTTTTGGTTTCCATTTTGCCAAGAGCGACCTATGGTCCCATTTTGAAATATCCAAGTTTCATCGAGGAAGACAAACTGGTATAAGGCCTCAACCTTGGCTTGATTGTATTGCCTTAGAAATTCCACCCTTTTCAAAGCTATACTTGGTAGTTCCATGAGCCCTCGTCGCGGATTGTCCTTAAGCCACTTAAATCCAAGATCTCTAAGCAACCGCCTTAAAGACGTGGCACTACCATCAAATAATGCCCTATCTCTTAATCGAGACCATAAAGTTTGTATCGTAACTTGTTCTTCTGAAACCATGTGTAATATGACATTATAATTTAGTTAACAAATTAATGCAAATTTCTGATAAGTTATTATAATAAGATCTTACTTTTGTGATACATATTATAGATCACTTCTCGAATGGCACTTGTATCCAATGTCGCTGTGTTGGTTACACGTTTAATATAACTCCGCTTTTTCTTGGGCGATTCTAAATTTGCATCACTTTTCACACCCTCGGAAATACGACTAACTGTCCTTAAACTAATTTTTAAAGCAGCAGCAACACGCTACAAAAAATGAAATAAAATTTCACTATTATTAATATACATTACATATAATTATTAGTAACCTACCTCTTGAACAGCATTTAAAGGCAACAAAGGCCCGTTGTTGTCCCTTTCTTGCTCAAAGTAGTGCATTAACGAGGCCACGAGTTCCTTACACCGACTATTTAACTGTTTGGGCAACTTTATATACCAAAATTGCCTTTATCTACTCGTAAAATGAATAATTTTGTTTTGAAACAAACAGTTGTTGATTTACAGTATGCGGGGCCAAAGGATTTATAAAGATTTGAAATGCCACAAATTGATTCAGTGTCAAAATTAATACAAATGTCAGTTCCCAGTTTAAATAAGTTTCAAGGTGACAATGTGCCAACGCTGCGAAATCGGTTTGGTGCGTTTACATGTCGATAAGTGATTGGAGCGTTTGCAAAACATTTTATTTCGCATAATGCGTCTAAATTTATCAGAAAGCAACTTATGTGATATTTTAATAACAATGTTTATATGACTATTAACCATAATAAGAGAGTAATGACCATTTTACAATTTATATATCACATTAATATGAAACTGCAATAGAGCAATTGTTTGTGATAGAAACCTAGGCAATTTTTGATCGACCAGACATCGAACCTTTAATAATCAACTTTGAGAGTGATGAAGATTCAGATTCAAACAGCGCTGAAGAAAGAAACTCCGACTAACTTTATTGTACAGAAAAAGCTTACACCAGTAGCTTACCTAATTTTAGAATGCATTTTTCTGTATGAATTCTGTAAAATAAATACCATGCATAAAATTTGGAGGACCCCATTTGGATTTTTATTCAGTACCTTTAAGCTATCAATTAAATATGGTAGTTTCATAGTGTCATCTGATCAATAATTGTCATACTTAATGATTATGCAAGTACAGATCTATAATTTTATTATACTATTATTTTTGTTCTCATTTGAGGTTAATATTGCTTATAAACCTAAGTAGATGTCTTATGGGGATTCGGTCTCAAAACTTCCAAAATCCGCCACCAGAGGCGCTGGCGTCGCGCGCCATTGACAGGTTGTTGGACGGAATCTGCATTCATGAGTTGGGGATTCCGCCGCTAGATGGCGCTGTCAAACCAAACGGAATCTGTGTGTCATTGGACACCTGTCATGCGTCATTGGGCATCTCACGCATAGATGGCGTTAAAACGTCATCTGTTATACGTCATTGGACACCTGTCATTGATGGGTTGGGCATCTCGCGCATAGATGGCGCCGATTTGTTTGGCGCTGTACAAACCAAACGGAATCTATGTGTCATTGGACAGCTGCCATTGATGGGTTGGGCATCTCGCGCATAGATGGCGCCGATGTCGCACCTGTCTGGTGTTGGCGTGGATTACGGGGGGCAACGTGTATACAGGGGTGCATCGAAAAATAGCGGATCGATGGACCGACGGTATATCGTTAAATCGTATATAGCAAGGCGTGACCTAAATAGCGTGGTGGGCTCCTCTGGTCGGTCGGTCGGTCAGAATGTCTCATAACCTGTATACGATGTACTGTTATTATTATACAGGATGATACCGTTCAAAATGAAAATAGTATAATGGATATTTTATTGAAACATATAGTATATATATAACAATAAGGTTGATTGGTGTGTGTGTGTGTGTGTGTGTGTGTGTGTGTATGAAATTTTCAGTTGCCTACAGTGTCGTCTGAATCAATATCGCTGTGTTCTGGTCGTGCAG